CATGTCAGGTGCATGTGCATGTATGCCCAAGATCCTTAGAGGAGAGTGGAGGAGAAGGGACTGCAGCATGACTATCTCCCCTGGGAAGTGACTTCTCACTTTCTCTCTGTGTCTGTCCAGCGAGTACATATGCCCTATAGCAAAAATCTCTCTCTTAAAAAAAAAAAGGTTTAACTCTTTACACATTTATCAAAAGCTCCCTGACTGGTAAGTGCCACTGGATGCGGATCCTAATCTCTCTCTTTTTTTTTTTTTTTGGAGAGGTTTTTGCTATAGGGCCGTGTGCGCTCACCAGACAGAGAGAGACAGAGAGACAGAAAGCGAGAAATCACCCCTCGGGGGGATGGCCACGCTGCAATCCCTTCTCTGCCATGCTCCTCTTGGGATCTTGGGTGGGCATGCACGCACACGTGCCCGGGGTAAGTTTTAAGCCACTGGTTTAAGCCACTGGTCCGGGACGCAAACCGCAGTGGCTTAACTACATTACGCTAACTACTGGTCCCCCTAATCTCTTAAAGACAGTGTTTACATGGGGACTTGGCCACATATTGTTCTGCCCAAGTGGGCAGCTGGGATGAGATCAGGTTTGAACTTGTCCAGGAACTAGGCCAGGCCTGTCAGCCCCTCCCAGGACCCTTGTATCAGGTGAGAGGGACCCAGCAAGGCCTGGCATAAGTCAGGTCTTAAGGCTGATCCTCAGGGAATGGTGGAGTTTCACTCTAGCCTAAGTTTGGCCAAGAGGTGACATTGGATCTAGTAGACATGTTTTGTAGCCCTCAGGTCTCCAACGCAGAAGAGCATAGATGGCAGGATTCCTAGAGAAGGAACCACTTGGGGTGTAAGAGGGTAGCCTTTCTCTCATTCACCTCCTTCAATGGGTGAAATCAGGTCAACTCCCAAGACTCAGTGTACATGTCACCTCTGTGAAACCCTTCTGACTCCCAACACCTCACAACCCAGTCTTAAACCACTCCTGTGTGCCCTGGTGGCATTTTGCTGCTGCAGAGTCTAATTTGTCTTGTAGTTCATACTTACCCAGCTTGTCAAGAGGAGTGTCATGGAACAGCCTTCTGTAATAAAGCAGGACCTCCTCCAGAGCAGGTGGCAGGTCAGACTTTGACTTACTTACTGGCTCGCTCATTCATTCAACCAATCATCGTCATCATTATTTTTTAAATATTTATTATTGTCATTATTATTTTTCCCGTGAGTTTTGCCAAAGAGAGAGAGTGAGAGTGAGAAAGCAAGCCGCCAGGTTCGAGACTCAAACCATGGCCAGCCATGTGGGAATTCCATCACCTTAACCACCATGCCACCTGCTGGTCCTCAACCAGTCATTATTAAGCACCTACCATGTGTCAGGTTTTAACTAAACTGCTGGGAACACAACAGTGAGTAAGTCTGACCCAATCCCTGCCCTCATTCTTACATTTCCTGTAGCCCAGGCCAATGTCGGGCACAAAGCCTGGTACAGTAGAGCTTAGTAATGGCTAATTGGTAAGCTTGTCTTCAACCTGCCTTTTTCGTTTGCTATAGTGCCTCCTGGTCAGAGGCAAAGAGGAAAAGTGGGAAATCCCTTCTCCAGTTTCCTTTCAGGATTTTGGGCATGCACACACAAAAGCACCTGGCTTGAATTAAAAATAAAAATTATTTAACTTTATTATTTTAAATTTGACCTGAGAGAGAATGAGCCTGAAAGCAAGCCGCGGGACCCAGGACTTAAGCCATGGACACACACGTGGGAGTCCAGTGCCTTGACACCTGCGCTTGATTTTGAAGTCTCGGATTTTGTCACGTGGAATCCCACTACCTTACCCACCCCAGACCATCTGCTGGCCGTCTAAGCTGCCTTTTAACGTATAGTCTATGCTAACGATATTAATAAACATTTTCTCAAGAAGCAACATTTACATGACAAATTAATTTGACCTATTTCTGAAAGCAGCATACAGGGCGACCTTGGGGGCCTGACGGAAAGTGTCCAGAAACTAAAGCTCCTGACGCCACTCAAGTCCACCACCTGGATGCGCCGAAGTAGGTGAAAGCCGCGACCCCGCCCCCATTCGGCCCCGCCCACAAGGCCCCGCCCCTTCCAGGTGCCGCCCGGCCCCACCCCCGCTCTCCATCGCTA